GGGGGGGGGGGGGGGGGGAGAGAGGATGCGAGGAGAGCCATTGGAGGCCGCCCTGGGTGCGGAGTTGGGGGGCCAAGGGCCCACTTAAAACATCAGGGAGAACACCAGGGCGTGATGAGGGCTAACCTGGTGGAGAGGAGACTGCACGAGAGCAGGCGCTGCTTCTTCCCCATGGACCTGGGCTGCTGCTTAGCCCGCCTGGCCAGAGCTGCCCCGAGCAGGGCTGTGTGGGGCGGGGGGGCTGCATCCCAAGATGGGTGTCCAGATGGCGCAACCTCCTGTCTCTCATGGCCAAACCCTCTTGTGGCTTTCTTCTGCTTTCTGACTGTGGGGCCACTCCAAAACTGTGGGTTGGGGTTCTTTCAGAAACGTTGCTTATGTCACCGGATACCGGGTGGCATCATCAGTGACCAGCATCTGGTGTTGAACCGTTGACCACGAGAGAGGAAAGAGGAAAGTGCGTTCTGCTCATGCTGGTCCCAGCCCCCATCCTAGCCTGACGTAGTGTCTCTGGTGCTTTTCAGGTGGGGGGACAAACAGCATCACCGTGACGAATGCCACGTTCACGTGGGCCAGAGGAGACCCCCCCACACTGCACGGGTAAGCCAGGGCGTGGACACGAGGTGTTGTGCACAGAGCCACAGGGCCCAGGTCAAGCTGGGATTCGAATGCCAACCACGGTCCAGCTTTGTGATCTTGAACACGTCACTTTGATGCTCTGAGCCTGTTTACCCACTTGGAAAATAAGCCCACTCATGCCTATTGGGACTTCCTTGAGGAGCAGATCGAAAGGTGCCTGTAGCACAGAGAGTCCTCTCTGGTCATCAGTGACAGAAACCTTGCACAGGTAGGCTTAGGTGACCAAGGGGAATTTTTGGCTCACAGAGTCAGAAGGTCCACCTTCAGCTGTGGTGTGATCCAGGGACTCGGTGCCATCTGAACTCTCTCGAGTATCTCCCTTGCGATGGCTGTGGCTCCCCACAGCTCCAGGTGCACTTCCTACCTGGTCAGGGGGCCTGCTGGCCTCTATTGATCTCAGGTAGGCTCTCATGTCCTCCTGAGCCAATCCTCTGCCTGGAGGGTCTTACACTGACTGGTCTGAGTCTGCACGAGGGCTGCCCACAGCAGGCCTGAGTTGGCCAACAGGTGTTCTATCCACTTGTGTTTCCCGTCCCCTCTGAGGCCCCCGCTGCCTGCTGCCCCGTGTCACCACTTCCCCACCTGATGCCGCACCCACTGCCTCCCTGTCTCTCTGGAGCACATGGTGTCTAGGTGCTCAGCCTTGTTCCTGGGCAACTTCTCAGTGCCTTGAACTTACTCCTGGCTGGAGGTTTCACTCCACGGTTCTTCGAGGCTTCCATAAGGAGTCCCTGAAACACAGGGCCGAAGGTCCTTTTTGGAAGCCAGGTAACTGCTCAGCTGTCACCCTGACAAGTAGCCAAGCGGCTTCTGTGTTCTATCGGTGGGGGACAACCTGTCCAGGAGAATCTGTTGGGTCATCAGAAAGGCATGACATACTTATCTCTGTTTTTCTATGTAAAATCGTGTCATGACTTCTCTGACAGCCCAGCAGAGGAAGTCTCCACTGAAAACTCACGCTGGCGTTGCACATCCAGGAGTTCTTCCTGTGTCTAGCCCGGTCTGCTTCGGTGATGGCGACCCCTCTCGTCCTGCCCCGCAGCTCATCTGTTTGTGACCTGCCTCTGTCCTGTCACCCTGCACCTCGAACCCCAGAACATTTTAACATTTGCCCCTTCCCTCTCCTCAGCCTGCAGAGATACCCCATCTCACCTGCATTGTGGCAGATGCTGCCTCAGGGGCTTCCTGCCCCCTCTGACCCCACAGTCCATGCCCCTCCCAGCAGTGTTACCATGGTGATTCTCACTTCACGAGGGCTGGGCGACCAGGGACGACGCAGCCCTTCCGCGCTTGCACTGACACGTTGCAGTCACAGCAGGCGCAAAGTGTGGGCAACTTGAGTGACCTGACAGCCCTGGTGGCTGCCCTCGCCCTCAGCCCGGGCATTCCCAGCTCTGCCTGGGCTGTCGGCGAGGTGGCATGAGGTTGTCCCATGTCTGGTGACGGCCGGTCTCGCTGGTGGAACAAGCAGGGGCTTACAGAGCTTCTTTGATTTTGCCTGCTGCTACTTGGGGGAGGAGGAGTTCAGCGGGGACGACTTCCTGATCCTCGGACTCACTCGCTCCACTCTCCCCTGCACACTCTCACTGTGACTTGGAGCTGGCCAAACATGGCTCTCTTAGCCCAGTGTCCCCTGTGGTCCTCTTAGGCCTGACTGCCACCTGCTCACCTCTTCAGCACTCGTTCCGTCCCTGGTCACACTCTTCCTTCCCAGGGCCTCTGTGTCTGCTGTTCGCGGTTTTGGTGTCTCGGACATGCCCACTCTTCCTTCAGAGGTTGTTCTGAAGTGTCCTGTCGTTTGGGACATTACACCATGACCTCCATTCAGCCCTCCCTTTCCACCTCCATTCCCTAAGGCGCCTTTGGTTCTAGTCCATTTTTGGCTGACAGCAGGAAGTACCCGAGACTGGGGAATTCATGAAAACAGAGGTTTATTTGGTTCACGGTTCGTAGGCCCATGGTGGGGGTCTTACAGAGTCGAGCGGCTGTCATGAGCGTGAGAGCGTGACTGTGGGCCACCCACGTGTCTCTGTGCTGCTCTCCTTCCTTCTCCTTGTAACCTACCTGGAGGAGGTCGGAGGTGCCGCCCGATCACCTCATCATGCTCAGAGACCCCGCCTTGGACACAGTGAAGGAATTACGTTTCCTCCTAATACTGTCACTCCCCGATTTCAAGACATAGCTTTTTTGGGGGACATAAGCTGTGGTATATTTGCATCCTGGCTCCTGTCACCTGCCTCACCCGTGACGGTCCTCTGAGACAGTTCAGTAGACTCGGTATAAAAGGCGAAGGGTTTTCGGGTCCTTGGTGCTGTGGCAGCCCTGCCTTCTGTGTCTGCCCCCCTCGGGGAAAGCCGGCTCGGGTGGGGGGGCTGCAGCCCGCATGCCTGGTCCAGGCGAGCGCTGGCTGAGGCAGGCTGGCTTTGTCGTTTCAGCATCACCTTCTCCATTCCCGAAGGGGCCCTGATGGCCGTGGTGGGCCAGGTGGGCTGCGGAAAGTCATCTCTGCTCTCAGCCCTGTTGGCAGAGATGGACAAGCTGGAGGGGCACGTGGCTGTCAAGGTAGGACAAGGACAAGGGCAGGTAACTGGGGGAGGCGGGTGGGCGGACACCGCCGGGCTGAGAGGAGGGCCGAGAACGATGCTGTGTCTTTGTTGCTGTCCCTCTCTGTGAAGTGAGAGCCACGGGCCTCTCCCCTCTCCCTCCTCCACGGGCCCTCGGTCTCTTATTCCTGTTCTCAGGCCTTCCCTGGATGGCAGGGGTTGGGCTTCCTTTTCTCTCTGATTTTTCCCCCCCTTTAAAGATTTATTTATTTATTTATTATTTTTTCACATGAGTTTCACCAGAGAAAGACACACACAGAGAAAGAGAGAGAGAAAGAGTGAGAAAGCAAGCTGTCAGGTCCAGGACTCGAACCATAGTCAGCCATGTGGGAGTTCTAGCACCTTGAACACTGTGCCACCTGCTGGCCCCCTTTGCTCCCCATTGTACCCCAACACTGAGCTCAGCACATGCGTGGTAGGTGCATGAGTACTCCCACCCCTGGGCCGGAGGCCCTCCGTCTCGCGTGCCTGCCCTTTCTGTGGCCCCGTGGTCTCTGGTGTGAGTTCTGCTGGCTTGTTCTCTCTTTATGGATCTCTGTACATCTTTCTCGTAAATACATCCAAACTTAAAAATTGTGACCTATGTGGTTGCGATATTTTCATAGAGCTTTTTATATTTTTAAAAATAATTATTTATTTAATTTTATTTATTCATTCTTTCACATGAGTTTCACCAGAGAAAGACACACACAGAGAAAGAGAGAGAGAAAGAGTGAGAAAGCAAGCTGTCAGGTCCAGGACTCGAACCATAGTCAGCCATGTGGGAGTTCTAGCACCTTGAACACTGTGCCACCTGCTGGCCCCCTTTGCTCCCCATTGTACCCCAACACTGAGCTCAGCACATGCGTGGTAGGTGCATGAGTACTCCCACCCCTGGGCCGGAGGCCCTCCGTCTCGCGTGCCTGCCCTTTCTGTGGCCCCGTGGTCTCTGGTGTGAGTTCTGCTGGCTTGTTCTCTCTTTATGGATCTCTGTACATCTTTCTCGTAAATACATCCAAACTTAAAAATTGTGACCTATGTGGTTGCGATATTTTCATAGAGCTTTTTATATTTTTAAAAATAATTATTTATTTAATTTTATTTATTCATTCATTTATTTTAATTTGAGCAGAGAGAGATACACAGAGAGAGGGAAAGTGAGAAAGCAAGCCACCAGGTCCGATATTTGAACCACAGTCGGCCATGTGAGAGTATCCAGCGCCTTAACCACCACGCCACCTGCTGGTCCTCGAGCTTTTCAATTTTTTAAGAGCCAATTTAAATTCTTAGTGCTCGTTGAATTGTCCATATGGGACAAGAAGAAGACACCACTTTCATCGCTATTAGATACACAGCGTACTTCAAACTCAGTTGAAATTCCCTGAGGCTGCTTTCTTGGACAGATGAGTCCCTCAGGAGTGGAAAGCCAAGTCTCGTCTGGCGGTCAGTTTGTCCCCAGTGAAGGCCTTACCTGGGGTGGGGAGACTCACCTGGAAGTTGTGTGGACTCCAGCGTCCCCTGTGTGGCCTGGAACAGCTCATCTGGGGAGATGTTTAGTGGACTAAAGGCCCAGGTGCGACACACATGCTGCGTCCCCCAGCTTCCTCTCGGACATCTGCAGTCAGCGTTAAGAACACCGAGGCTCTGAGAAGTCCTGCAGGGAGAAGCCGCCTACGGAACTTGGATTAGCCTAGGGGCCCTGGGCGTGTGTGCCCGCTTCGCTGTGTTGCCTGTTCACCTCCCCAGATCTGCTGTCACTTTGGGGAATGCTAGTTTATGCCATGGTTTCATTTCGGAGCAAAATCCTTTTTTGTTGATTACATGATGCTTTTTTAAAAAGTGTGCATTTTGGTTGTTCGGTCCCCACGAGTTCAGCTGCTTTTTTAATCAATGTCCTGTCGTTGTTTTAAGGAATGCCCTTTTGTTACTTTGTTAACATGCTGTAAAGTAAGATGAAGGGCAGTGCGAACTAGGTTAATGGAAAAAAAAAAAAAATCAAGTGGGATCCATGCCGAGTGGTTTTCTTTTTCCTGGGTTTCCACAGTCCCAGCACTGTCAGCATTTGGGGCAGGGTAATTATTTGTGACCCGTTGTTTTACACTGGTAAGGGAGGGCTAGAAGTGTGCTTAAAATATTGACCCCCCCTAGTATTTTAGTCAGTGTGGCTCATGTGTGAGTGTATTCATTATCTGTGGGTTCTTTGGTGAGACTTTGTGAGATTTTTCGCCTCTTCCGAGTTAGAATATTAGTGTTGGTAGTTTATTTATTTATGTATTTATTTGAGAGGTTTTTGTTATAAGGCGCATGTGCTCACCAGAGAGACAGAGAGCTAGAAAGCGAGAAATCACCCCTCCGGGGGCGGGGATGGCCATGCCACAATCCCTTCTCCCATTCTCCTCTCGAGATCTTGCGCATGCACGCACATGTGCCCGGCGTGAGTTTAAGCCACCAGGTCCGGGACTCGAACCACAGTCAGCTTCATGGAAGTCCAGCGACAGCCATTATGTCAGCTGCTGGTCCCGGTAGTTTAGTTATTTACCTGCAATTATAGGTTAAGAGTCAGGGCACTTGGGTCATTCCCCTTCCTCCTACCCACCAGCCTTGTCCTTCTAGAATCCCCTTCCTGAAGAACCTTCAGTGGCTACCATTGTCACTGGTAAAGCGTGACCAACTGGCCTGGTGTGAGCCAGCCCCTGTGCTTTGCGGCCATTTCCTGCCTCGCTCCCCCTGCACGTCCACATGTCCGGTCACACTGGCCTTTCGGTTCCCTGAATGTGCCACTTACCTCTCTTCCCTCCCTGGATCTTTGCTGTGCTGTTCCCTGTGACTCAGATGCTCTTCCTGGTCTTAGTCACTCAGTCATCATGCACGCTGTCAGGAGAGAGGACCCCAGCAGGACCCTCGTACTGCGATCCACTCCTGAGCCTCAGTGGGCCCGAGTCATGGCACACACATGTGCTCCTGGCGTGTCCGGGGGGACCCTGTGGTGCAGACCCACGATTTTCCCGTGCGGTCTCATTGTGTTACTTCCACACCACATCTGGCCCCTGTTCCCTGTTCTTTGGGAAACTTACTCCTCACCTTTCTGCCATTGTCCAAAAAAAAAACCACCCCACACAAACAGACACAGAAACACACAAAATAACTGAACCATCTGAGCATTTTTGTTACTAAATGCACCAAGCTAATGTCCATACCTGGCCCTTCTGCGCCGCTCCTGACCCCTTACATTATATGGAAATAGAAAATCGGGGCTGGAAATGGGCTGCTTTGCTGAAGGGGCCCTGCTTCAGTTCCATCCAGGGAATGCCCTCCAGATGGCCCTTCCTGGCGTTACGACAGGTCAGGCTTTGGAAAGGCCTCACGTATTTGTCTTTGCTAACATCGTCACGGCTGTAATCAGATGAGTTTTTGGTCACATCAAGGACATCTCCTCTTGGGAGGCTCAGAGGTGCAGACGCTGCTGGGGGCGCCCGTGATACCAGGCGCATCGCTAGCTCATTGGTGAGGGTTCGATCCCTAAGCCCTGGCATTAGTGTGGGCTCTCATCCCAGCTCTGGCATCCCTGGGTCTTGGTGCCTCACTTCCCTCTTGTGGAAGCAGTGGGTGTGTGACGTAGGACTCTCCTGGCAGTCCACCTGTCCGTCTCACCCTCTCTCTTTGCCGCCTAGGGCTCGGTGGCCTATGTCCCCCAACAGGCCTGGATCCAGAACGATTCTCTCCGAGAAAACATCCTTTTTGGACGCCAGCTGCAGGAGCGGTATTACAAGGCTGTGATCGAGGCCTGCGCCCTCCTCCCAGACCTGGAAATGCTGCCCAGTGGGGACCGGACGGAGATCGGTGAGAAGGTCAGTACAGCTGCAACGTCAGCCCCTGGCTCGGTCAACTGCCGCACAAAACACCAGAGTCCGTGGCTTTCCCCGTAAATTCTCTTTCCTGCTGGTGAGTCTGTGAGTCAGCTGTGATTGGTGGGCTGTGGTGGGGCTCAGCCAGGAGGATCCACTCCCTGCTGTAGGTCAGCAGAGTGTGGCTCCAGGCTGAGGGTTTGGCTTCTTGCTCAGGTCTGGGCTGAAAGGTCAGCAGCTGGCACAGGTGACATGGTGACAGCAGGTACTCGTGAGCAGAAAGAGAGCAAGGGCTACCTCTAAAACACACTGCCCTTCTACCCACAAAGAAAGTCGCTCGGCCAAGCCCAAAGGCAGGGGACAGGGACTGCAAAGGCATGTGACAAAGGGCATGTTACAGGGGAGGGGTGTTAGTGATTCAGGCGTCCACAGTCCCTGACAAAATGGTGGTGATAATAGAAATAATACAATAGCTCTTCTTTATTGAACATTTTCTGTGTGCCAAGGACGTATTTTGCTTTCACAGCAAGGCCGTGAGGTGAGGTTTATTGTCCTCATTTAGGCGCAGAGAGGCTAAGTGACTTGGCTGAGGCCATAGAGTCACAGAGGCGTAGAGCCCTAGTCTTGTGTCCTTGCCCTTACCCGCTGTCTTGTCACCTCTAAGGAAGGCCATTCTCTGTGCCTCCAGCCACTCCAGCCCCACCTGCTTGTGTCCCAGCGCCCCGCCTTCTCGCTGTTCCTCAGCAGCTCTGCCTCTAGGTCCTGGCAGCTGCTTTCCCTGGGCTTGGCCCCGGGCCCCTTGCCCTTCCATTTCCGGGCCACCCTGCTCTAGCGCCCCCTGGTGGTTGTCTGGTGTGTGCAAGCAGATCTCACAGCGGAGTCCACCTTTGAAAGACCAGGAGTACAGAGAACTGGCCTGGTCCTGTTGGTGGTTACAAGCCGGTAGCCCTGCCAGCATTCTTACTTGGCAGATAATTTAAATGAAGGGAATCTGAGGCTCCTTGGGAAGAACACACAAATTATTTATGGGGGTCTTCCGGTGTGTATAGAAGCGTGAGCTAGCATAAGCAGACGAGAAGAGTCTAAGGATGCGGGTACATCCTGGGGCATCTGAGGGCTGGAATCTGGGGTGGGGTGACGGGGAAGGTCTGGGCAGGCGGCCTGGCCCTGTGCGGGCTTTCTCTCTCCTTCTCGGACATCAGCTTTGTCCTTTGCTAGTGTTTGGTTTTTGTACTTGAAGACTCGTCACTGCCCTGTCTGGGTCCCGGTACCAAAATCTGAAGGGAGGGAATGTGATTGGCTTAGCTCGTGTCCATCATCTACCCCTGGCCAATAAGCCATGGCCAGAGGGACCATCAGAAGGAGCCTGGACCCCAGGACCTCACTCGCTGCATGTGAGGGAGGGCGCAGGGTGGGCATCTCTCCGCAAAGGGGCCAGGGCAGGGCCTGCCTCGACCGTATGTGGCTTCACCAGTGAGTGATAGATCTGGAGTGAGCTGGCCCCAAATTTAGCCATTAGCAGTAACAGCTGCACAGCAGTAAGATCATCACCACATCTACTGGAGCCTTCATAACCTGCAAGATCAGGAGCCTTCCCTTTGCCAGTATTATTCGGTGGCACCAACCACTCTTGGCTGGGTACCAACTGTGTGCCAGGTGCTCTGCCTGGCAACTCACAGGAGCTTGGGTTTTGTCTTTTCCCATTTTACAGATGGGGCTGAACCTCATGCCATGGTCACATTCCTAGTTATGGTGGGCCCGAGACTTGAACCTGTGGTCACACAGGTGTAATCTCATGCCTTTGACCTCCCACTAAAACAGGAGGCAGCAGGTGTGACTCTGTAGGTCCTCTAGCCTGGGCCTGCCACACCGTGAACAGGTTACCCTCACGGATGTGTTTTGGCAGCCCAGGTGTCCTGGGAAACCCATGCTCTGCTGTGTCTCCCCAGGGCGTGAACCTGTCTGGGGGCCAGAAGCAGCGCGTGAGCCTGGCCCGGGCCGTGTACTGCAACTCGGACATTTACCTCTTCGACGACCCTCTCTCGGCGGTGGACGCCCACGTAGGAAAACACATATTCGAAAACGTGGTTGGCCCCAAGGGGATGCTGAAGAACAAGGTACTTCTGTGCGGCAGGGCGTGGCTTCCAGCCGACTCATCTGTGGGTAATTCCGAATGTGTCCCCTTTAGGAATCCTTCGCTTCCCAGGCCTCTTTTTTTTTTTCTTTTTTAATTGGGCTTCAGGAACGCACTCTTCATGCTTTCCTTGGCCACCGTCCCAAGCCGGCGTCTTGCTTGTCTTTATAGGGTAAGTCCTCAGACTCACTCGAAATCATTGCCTTCCCTCGGCCAAAGGAGGCCCCGTTCTCCATTCAGTCCAGGGCAACCTGGGGGAAGCACGAGGGGAAGTGGCTCCTGTGCCGTCTCCTTCTAAGTGATCAGTGGGGGCAGAGGGTGCGCTACACTGGTTCTCTCTCTGTTTTTTCCTTTTCTGATTATAAAAGGAATGCATGCCCATGGGGGAAATATAGAAGATTCAGGAAAAGCAAAAGCACCTTGGCATCATCCTATCACTTAGAGGTTTATGATGTTTTTAGGTCTTTTGCTATGTGTCTTTAGTAGGGTTATTTTGTCGTACGTAATATTGCATAAACTTTCCCATGCTTACTGCTAAAATGTGATAAAACATCAACTTTAATTTTTATGCCAGAAGGTGTGTGTGAACATGAGGGGAGGACAAAAGCACCCCCGACGGGGCCTGGTCGTACTACAACAAGGTCCTTTTTCTTCCACTTTTCCATGCTGTCAGGATGCCGGGCACTGTGTGAGGCTGTCAGGGTCGGGGTCTGCCATGTCCAGTCTGTGTGTGGCACCTAACTGCTCCGCTGTAGGGCCAGTCTTGTCATTTTTAAATAGTGGGAACACGTTTAAATGTTTCCAGAGTAACACATGCACACGGTGACAGAAGGAGTCCGAGCATCTGGGAGCATGTGTTACACATCCCTCATACCCTAAGATTGGAAACCATACGAGCACTGGCTGGATGCCACACATGGGAGATCCCACACCCGACGGCACGTGACGGGTTACAGTCAAAATAACGCAGTATAAAACTATTGTAGTCCTTCCCGCCAGGCCACATGTATGACGTGTATGTGAAACAGGGCCAGCAGGCAGTGTAGTGGTTAAGGCACTGGACTCCCACATAGTGGACTGCGGATCAAGTCCTGGACTTGCTTCCTCACTTGCCCCCTCTCTCTTTCTCTGTCTCTCTCTCTGGTCAAAATAAAATAAAAGTAAATAAATAAATCTTTTTAAAAAAATAAGTGTATGCGAAACATGGTGAATTCCATGTTTAGGATTGGACCTCATCCCCGAGGTACCTCATCTTACATATGTAGGTATTCTAAAGTCTGAGAAAACAAATCCAAAACCTGATACGCTTCTAGTCTCGAGTACTTTGGGTAAATAAAATCGTGCCTCCCTGTCCTCCCCCTCCCCCATTCTTTTCTCTAGAAAGGGCGATGCCACAGGTCTGGCCTGCTGCTCGTTCTGTTTGACTATCAGCTAAGAATGATGTTTACTTTTTTAAATGGTTGGAAAGATCTAAAGAGGATTTTGTGACACATAGTAATCGTGTTAAATTCAGGTGTCAGTGCCCATGGGCTAAGCTGTCCCGGGGCGGTGCCAGCCTGTGCTTTAGGTATCCCTGTGGCTGCTCTGTGCTACAGCAGTGGAGCAGAGTTGTTGCCCCAGCGACCGTAAGGTCCCTAACGCTGAAAATATGTGCCATCTGGCCCTTTAAGAAACAAGTTACTGGCCTCGGGCCCACAGATGGTGTAATGGTTACATCACTAGACTCTCATGCAATCCACCACAGTTTGAGTCCCAAATCTGGTGTCTTAAAACTCAGGCTGGGCTCGGGAGCATGTGTTCCCAGGGGTCGTGGTATGGCCATCCCCCTGGGGAATGATTTCTTGCTTTCTGTCTCTCTATCTCTGTCTCTCCAACCAGCGCATGTGCCCTGTAGCAAAAATCTGTCCCCCAGAAGAAGTTACTGACCTCTGTTACTAGTTGGATAAATGCCCCCCCAAATGTTCAGATCCTTTAATAAAACGTATATACATACAATTTTCATAACGATTTTGGGGAGCAAAGTAGGCAAGTTACTGTAAAAACAAATAGGCCATTGCATGTAAATTGTTTGCAGGAGCAAGTCTTTTATTTATTTACACTCATCCCTCAGGTTCTTGTTTACAAACACCTTCCCCATCCCCCTTGTCAGGATTACACACCCGGGGGCTGGAAGGCACCACAGCGGTGACCTGCTCTGGGAGTCCAACCCACGTGGGAGGTTCTGGGTTTGCAGCTGGAGCCCTCCCTGACCACGCCGGGCATTTGCCCGTGGTCTGGGACTGACTAAAGCTAGGGGTGGATTGTGGTGTGAGAACCCTGTTGGGGTGTCCTGCCCCCCATCTCTCTCTCTCTCTTTTTCTAACTAATAGAGGAAATGAGTAAATAAACTTAGAAAGAATTGCTAGCTCCCCGCACTCGAGGTATCTGCCCCTCATTTCTGCTCCGTGTTCACCACCCAGCACTCTGACTCCCGTGTCCACCACTCCCCAGTCCTGGAGTCCGGGGCAGGGGTCTTCGTCTGCTTTGCTCCCGCCACCTCCCCAGGTCCTCGCCTGGCTGGTGCGTGGTAGGCACTTGGCACGGGCATGTGGGATGAGCGTGTGGAGGGCAGACGCCGTGTGCTGTCATCACAGATGCATGTCCCCCGTCCTACCCGAGTTCCGCCTTCCGGGTGCAGGGGTTCTGTGATTGCTGCCTTCAGCTGTCGCTGTGTCGCGTCAGCCACGCCATCCTGCACGCTGACACAGCTGTGTGCCCCCTCTGCCCGCAGACCCGGATCCTGGTCACTCATAGCATCAGCTACCTGCCGCAGGTGGACGTCATCGTCGTCATGAGCGGCGGCAAGATCTCCGAGATGGGCTCCTACCAGGAGCTGCTGGCCCGGGACGGGGCCTTCGCTGAGTTCCTGCGCACCTACGCCAGCACCGAGCAGGAGCAGGCCCCGGAGGACGACGGTAAGGGCTGGCGCCCGGGGACCAGCTGCCTCTTCGGGGTTCCCAGTGGCACCCTGGTCAGAGGCTCATCAGGGCAGCAGAGCGGGCGCTGGGCCAGGCTCCCCGAGCTGCCTGGGAGATGCAGGCGTGCACCAAGGTGGGGTGGTTCCAGGGCCTCACGACCAGGGGAGCCCCAGATGCAGTTCATCCGCACTCAGCACACATGCCAGCACCTTCATGTGCCGGAGCTCAGGCCTGCCGAGCTCCTAGGGCACAAATGCAGACTGTCATGGTCCCCAGAGGTGGAGAGCAGCTGACTGACACGGTGTCACTCAGGACGGGTGTGGGGGCAGGGGAAGCACAGGGGCTGAGCTTGGCAGCCTTGCAGTTGACACGATTGAATCCCAGCTCTGGCTTTTACCCACCACAAAACCCGTGAGCCCCAGAGCCTGCTTCCCATCCGAGAAGGCCGTGTGGCAGTGGCAGCAGCCTCCTGGCCCTCGGTGTAGGCGTGGTGGGCTCGTCACATGGAGCCTCCTGCATGGCACCCGGCCCTTCCTAAGGGTCCAGCTGCAGTTGCTGGTCTCTGCTGTCCTGGGAAGAGTGTTGTGCCCAGGTCACAGTAGTCCTGCCCTCTGCCTGGCTGCCTTACCTGGCCTGCCCTCCCAGACTGGACTGTTGACAGTGGGATGGCCTCAGATGTGCCCTTTGAGTCCCTGCACATCTCTGGACCAGGACCTCCCTCTGACGTTTCTTGAAGCAACTGAGGTCGGCAGATGTCTCGTGTTCGCACAGTTGCTTTACAGTCAGGTGTCAGCGTGCAGCCCCCGCAGGCTGCCCTGGGCGTCCCCACGCAGGCTGCCTGGGCTCCTCGGTCACACAGGCATCTCATTCTCCTCTGTTCACCCGCCTTCCAGGAGCCTTGACCCGCGCGGTACAGGAGGGAAAGGGCTGTCAGGGGCTGTGGCCAGGCCCCAGAGGACCGCACCCTTGGTCTGGGGGCCTAGCTTTGGCTAGCAGGAGTGACGAGAGAGGCCTTGTGTCCTGTCTTGATCTCAGACTCCCAAGGGTATTACAGACCCCAGGGCCGCTGGGGAGCGTTCATTAGTGCTGGGTCCCCAGATGGGTCTCAGGTAGACTTCTTCCAGGGCTGCAGGGCTGCCGCCTGGCATGACCCTGTGGGCTTCATCGACCCCACGGTAGTGTGGGTGACATCCTCTGGGGCTGTGCAGCATGGTAGCCTGGGGGCACTTTGCCCGGGCCTTTGGGATGTCCTCAGGAGAGCGATTTACTGTGGGCTTACGTTGGCAATGCCGGAGACTTAGCTCCTACTATGGTGAGAGCTTGTGCCATGTCCTGGGGCTGCTGAGGCAGGAACTGGTAGCTCAGACAAGATGCTAGCCTCAGCGTTCCGGGGCCGGAGTCTGGTGAGGAGCTGGCAGGGCGGGCCCCTCCCAAGGCCGTGGCTGTCCCCGGCCACTCCAGCATTGGGTGGTCCACAGCACCCCACCTCCACCTCCTCACAGTGCTCTCTGTGAGCACCCGTGTGCCCACACCTCCCCTCTGTACGGGGACCCCTGTCAGGTCGAATTCAGGGCCCACCCACACCAGTGGGATCTCATCTTATTAACTCATTACATCCCTGGTGACCCTGTTTCCAAATAAGGTCACCATGTAAGGTGCTGGGGCTTAGGATGCCAACGCGTGAATTTTGGGGAGACATTGACACAAACCCAGAAACCTCCCGTGTGGTTCAGCCTCAGAGAGCATTCGTTTTTCTGCTGTTCCCCTCTCCTTTTTCATTAATGAGAGAGAGAGGGAGAGCGAGAGGGAAAGGGACACAGGGACAGGTGTCCGTGACGGGGTCTCCAGCGGCTGACCCTCCTGTCCCAGCCTCCCTGTTAGCTAGGATCATGGGTGTGTGCAGCCAGGCTCTGGCCCAGGCCCCTGTGGGGTCTTCAGATTGAGATTTCCAGCCGAGTGAGCAGGGCCTATCCTTCAGCTCCTGGCCTCAGACAGGGGTTTCCCTCCCTCCCTCACTGCCACCAGCAGATCAAGGCAGTTTTTAAAGATGAAATGCTACGATTCCTGTATTGTTTTTGTGCACTCAGCACTTAACTTGGTAATGAAAGCTCCATCCACCTCCCTGGGCTCTTCCTCCAGTTCAGCCACCCCAGAGAAGCCCCCCACTCCCAGTGGATTTAGATCCAGTCACGCCACCCTCACCCCCAGGGGGCCTGCCTGGCATCTGGCCGCTAGGTCCATGTCGTCCACTTCAGTCACCTCCAGTTGCCAGTGACCTTGGGCCTATCTGAGCCTCATTTTTGGCTCCTTCTAAAGGAAAACTTTTTTTTTTTCCTTGTTGAATTAATGAGTTCTTTTTTTAGAACACCCAGGGCGAAGATTCAGGAGTGTTTGATTTAGAAGGATTTTCTCTCCTCGTGATGGGGCAGGGGAGGAAATGAACAGGAATGAGGCTCAAGATGGGGCAATCCGACTCCCACCCCGGGAGGGCATTTATTTTACTGATTTCTAGGAAATCTGTTCTGTTTTGAATAACGAGGGGAATGGCAAAACGATTTACAGATTGGCTCTTTAACCTTCATCACTGGAAGATAGAAAACATTGTTATGGCTGCAGTTTCTTTTTGAGAAACCTGAAGCCCAAAGCAGACATTTTCACCAGGAACAGTGTTGTTCTCCATCCCCTGGAGACATTTGCCAATGTTTGGGGACTTCTTGTGTGTGTCACACGGTGTGTGCAGGCCCCAGGGAGAGCAAGAGGGAGAAGGGAAAGCACGCCCCTTGGGGACTGGTCATGTGGTAGCTCTCTGCCTCTCCCTCCTTTCGGGATCTTGGGCAGGCCGGTGCACGTGTCCAGTTTGTGAATCCAGCTGCCAGGTCTGGGCCCGGAGCCGCACAGTCAGCCACATGGGATCCAGCTGCTTTAACCTCCAGGCCCCGGAGCCGGCTTGAGACTTTTATTTTAATTGCCAGAAAGAGAGGAGAAAAAGGGCTCACTAATGGGGCGTAGTCGCGCCACAGTCTCATTTCCGTTCTGGCAGGATTTGGGGTGCACACGTGTCCAGCCGGTTTTCTAAGCCACTGAGGCTGGGATTCAAACCATGCTCAGCCACGTGGGATCGGGCTGCCAGTGCAAGTCTTAACCACTGTGCTTTGGGGCCAGCCCTTTGGAAACTCGGGGTTAGGGTGCTACTGGCATATCCCACAATGCTTCAGATACCCCACCTTGCCCCCGAAGCCCCCAGGACAGAGTCATGGGGCCCAGGATCTCTGCGGTGCCGAGGGTGAGAAGCCCCGGTCTGCTTCGACTTCTTTGTCATTTTCGGAGGAGGGCCCTTACTCCACCAGTGTCGTGGCCAGCAATAAAACCTGTTGTTTTTCTTTTTGAGTGTTTCACTGAATCTTTGTAGTGACTGTCCAGTAGAAGTGTGCCCCTGGCGGACATTTGCAGAACACAGAAGAAACCAGGAGAAAGAGCACCCTTTACTGTTCCTCCACCCTGAGGGCAGCTGCTAGCATCTGGCATCTTTTCTGGGCCTTGTCCTTGACAAGATGGAGGCCATATTGTGCAAGCTTCCCCTCTCCCCTCCTCGCTGCTCCTCTCCTGCCTTCCCTTAACGTTGGCTCACAGCGCCTCCCCACGTACAAAGTCCGTCCCAGACCCTGGTCCGCTGCCAGCGAGGCCGTCGTACCAATGGCATTCCTCCCTGTCCTCAGCGTCCGTATTTCTTCCTCTTTTGAGGATGAAGAACTTGCCAAGCCCAGGCTGGAGAGTGAGGCTGGCTGATGCAGCTGGTTAATTCCGTTTTTGGTCAAAAACAAGGCGTTGACTGTAAAGCAGGGAGTTGAATTCTTTCCTCGAGGGACTTGCCTGCTGGCCTGAGCCCAAGCAGAACTCCAGAACCTTCTTGAGTAAAGGCAGGGCTGGCGAAATAAACAGTGGCTCTCACTGTATAGTTGAAGGATGCGGATGCCACTTGGCTCAGTAGCATCAGGGCCTCCTCTCTGGGACTTGAGAGAACTGGAGAAATTCCAGGTGCGGCGCATTTGCTTTAAAAAAAATAAATAAAAAGAGTGTTCTTCTTATTTTATGACATCCTCCTCACCCCACCCTTCATTCCGCCTTACCCTGCTTTGTTCTTCGTTGCAGCCCTAACTACCTCCCGACACCAGGCTGTGGCTCTCCTGACTTGCTCCTTGGCTCTCTCCTGAGGGCTTTTCGGCTGCCTCTATATCCCTAGGTCTCAGAACCGTGCCTCCCACACAGTGGGCGCTCAGTGAGGGTGTCAGGTGCAGAGGGGAATCGGCTACACCTTGGTCGTTCAGGGCATGCCCTGTATAAGAAACTGGGAGGTCAGCGTGTTTGAGCTGTTAACACAGCTGCACAAATGCCCCAGGTGAGGAGAAACTTACATGTTTGTTTTTAATTTGCTGTAGGGTTTGCATTCACTAGAGAGAGACAGAGATAAAGAGAGAGAGAGTGAATGTGAGTAAACACCCCCCAGGGGAGACGGCCATGCCAGAGTACTTTCTCTTCCACACATACACACATGCCCAGTGTGGTTTTTAAGCTGCAGGGTCTGGGACTTGAACTCACAGTTGACCATGTGGTATCCAGACATCATAACCTCCACGCCACTGGCTGGCCCAGACGAAACTTAAAGTGCTCAGGGCTGGTTTAGAATCTGGCTTTGGGGTATGGGCTGTGTGGGGGCTCCAGCGTGGCCCACGGCGTGCCCCTTTTGGTATGGGGAGGTCAGCTCTGCTTGTCCACTTGGCTGGTTGCCTGCCCGTCCCTCTACCTGTCATCAGGTGTGTACGGGTGCCTGCCATGTGCCGCGGAGCCACCGGGTCTGTGACCACATGTGCGGTGGTGCCCCCACCCCCCGAGTCGTGCACATGCCCTGTCTCTGCACGTGCAGCCTGGCCTGCACGGTGCTGAGAATAGAGTGGTAGATAAGGCCCCGACCCGTGCCCCCGAGAGCTCACAGTCTGAGGGGAGACAAGCACTGAACGAATGAGGACGTCATAGCACTCCACCCGGCGGCAGAGGGGCCTGTGAGAGCCCAGCCCTGGGCCTGTAGCTGGGTCACCTTCTCTTCTCCTTCCTCAGCCGTGTGCAGGGTCCGGCTCCATGTAAGGTCCCATGAGTCCTTGGCCCCTTCCTTGGACAGTGTCTGTCCTTGAGGAACGAAGCCCATGGGCTGGACTCAAGGCCTGTGCCACCCCAGCTGTGACGCCCGCCTGCCCGCTGCAGTTCCTCCTTTCCCCCTGCTGGTGTGAAAATGGACATGATGGTGGAGCGTTGATCTGCGTTGTTTTTTTCCAGTTCTTTCCCTGTTTACACACAACTGGGACTTTGGGAGAAAGGGGCTGGCCTCAGGCCGCATGCTCGTCAGGGTGCAGCATGTGGGGTGGGGAAACTGGGCACCAGGGAAGCAGAGAAGTCCATCCATCCCCTCTGGGTGTTCAGCGGGGCTACAGGGAGCTCTACCCGGTTCTCAACACTGCCCTGGATCTTGTGAATTCTCAGGTGGCCCAGTGCTGGACGAGGAGGAGGAAGGTCAGTGACGCGGGGCTGGAGCGGGCTGCGCTCCTAGAACGAGGCTGCGGACGCACGCGGACGCACACTGCATGCCTGAGTGTGCATTCCCCTCCCTTCTCCTTTCTTCTCTCCCTTTTAAAGTTTATTTCCTCTGAGAAAGAGAGAGAGAGAATATCCCCCCAACAGGGTCCTCACACCGTATTCCACCACCAGTCCCATCGGCCCGCATGATGGGCACATGCATACGTGTGTTTGTGGCAGCCCCAGGCCGCAAACCAGGAGCTCTCGTCCCTGCTGGTCTGGTAGCATTGCTGCTGCAGCCCTGCCTGGCCCCCACTTCCTTCCGTGTTCTGTTCACTCGCTTAGCAAGCATTCACTGGGCACCTGCTGTGTGCCGGGCTTTGTGGTTGGCACTGGGGACAGCGCGAGCCTCCAGATTGTCACTCATTGCCTGGTGACAGGGCTGAGCTCTCCTGCCTCGTGGGTCAGATGACCATGGCCAGCACGTCTCAAAGGAGCCCATGGTTGGACGGTAACTGGTGGACGGTAACTGGACAGTTAATGGCCACGGTTTGATTGTGAGATGCTACCCATGACCGTGCAGGCTGACTGATGTCCATGAGTTGCTGCAGGTGACAGTGGGGGCCCGGGAGTGGGGTCTGTCACCCAGCAGAGCCCCAGCACCAGAGTGGACCCGCCCCTCCTGCCTCCCACAGTCAGCAGTGTGAGGCCGAGGGGCTGGACCAAGGGCTCTTTGGCACACAATAGAAGCCGACTCTGTCCAGCTGACATTAAAAGAGGAAGGTCACAGGAAGGACACCGGGTCACCTGTAGATCCTGCTGAGCAGGCCGGACTCGGGAAGCGGGAACTCTGGGGACCCAGGCAGATCTGTGTGCACCCTCTTCAGACCCTGCGGGCCACCAGGGTTGGTTCATAGCCTTGGGAGAGGGTCTCTGATGGGTGACGCTGGGCAGGCCTCCCCAACGGGGGAGCCCAGGGCCAAAGCCCCAGGCCTACCAAGGCTGGGTGTGGCGGAACAGCCCTTCCAGAGAGCCAGGGGATGTGCACGGTATCCCTCGCCCGGCTCATCCTCCCGCAGGGCCCGCTCTCCAGCTGCCCCAGTTAGCATCTGCCTTCAACTGGCGCTAGAGAGGAGGCTCCCTCTTGACCTGGTGGACTGCACCCAGGTGGGCAGGAGAGGGAGTCCGAGGCAGCAGGGCCGGGGACAGCACTCAGGAGCTGCACACAGGCCAGGCTCCTGGGCACGTCCAGAGCAGCCTCATCCCTGCGCAGAGAGGCGGTCGGCGCCCTGGCTGCGCTCGGCATGCGTGTGTGTGCCCACTGGCTGCACGTGCCGTGGGGAGCATCCGCTTGCTGGGGCTCTTCTGGGGGTGTGGCGATTTGTTTGCTTGGTTTGGTTTGGTTTTGTGTCTCCGTCATTGTGTGTGGTAGTGGTTTTTGTTTTTGTTTTGTTTTTCCCTCTCCTTCCAGCAGGGTCTCGTGAGTGAGAGTCTCCTGTCTGAGCCCCTGAGTAACTGGAGGCGTAGGCACATGCCACGGTGTCTGGCTTGTTCGGGTGGTCCAGGGACCGAACCCTAGCCTCCCGTGTGCCCTCAGCCACACCCAGCACATGCCACCGTGGCCGGCCGGATGTGGCAGGGAATGTTGAGGCAGGGCTTGGTTTTCAGCTTTGGCTGTACCCGAATGGTCTGGGAACGAGTGTAGAGCACGCATCTGGACAGCACCATGGTGGCCTCTGTCACTGCGACTCGCTGCGCCAGGCACAGCGTTTCTGAGGATACGGTCTGCCCTGACTCCATTTCGCAGACGTGGGAACTGAGGAAGTCCTGCAGAAACCCCGGGTGGTTCATTCCCAGCCGAGACTGAGGATCCCTGGCTTGGGGCGCCTCTCCCCACCTGAGATGGCCTCCCAGCCCCCTCTTCCCCTCCAGTCTCGGTGGCTGTCATCGGAGAGAGCCTACCTTTACTCGTGGCACATCTTCATCTTCCCGGGTCACCCCGGTGGTTCTGCGGGCTGCGCGTTTGTCCCCGCTCATAACCTCTCTCCTGGGTTCCCTCCTGCTCCTGGGCCAGGCCTTCGGCACCATCACTGTGTTTCCCTCTGTGCGCCCTGCCCTCGCCCTGCCCTCACCCTGCTCTCGCCCTGCCCAGCCCAGAGAGAGAGCGGCCACCGCAGTGGGGCAGTAGCAGCATCACTGAGCAGTGAGGGGAAAAGACCTGACAGCCCGACACTCAGTAGATGCTGGCCACCATCCTCGTCAACATGTGCTGAGTGGTTGAAGCCTGGGTTCCTCCTGGGACCGGGGCAGCCACCCAGCTGGTGTGCCCCCTGTGGCCTTAGTGATCGCTCAATTACTGGAAGCTTCCTTACTCCTGGGGAGACAGCCACTGCCCCGGGCCTCCCCTTCCGTGGGCCCTCGGAACCTCCTGCAATCTGGAATCCCAAGCGTTGACTGCTGGTGCTGCAGCTCCTACTGGCTAAAGCCCCTGTCAGATTGGTGCATGCTCACCTGAGGCCCACCCCGGCTCGGGCAATAGCGGGGCATGCCCTGCACCCTGCGTGGTTCCTTCCAGCATGGCCCCGTTAGCTAACTTAACACACTGGAGACACAGTTGCTACAGCGGGGTTTGCCTTTGTTGGTGGGCCCTCAAGATTGTCACAAATCTCCATCCCTGTCCTCAGGGACCTGGCACCAGGTGGCACCCATGCCCAGCCAAGGAGCCTGTCTGTGGCCTTAGTGAAACAGGCCTCACTCTGAGCTTCCTGGCATCCAGGTCACCTGCTGGCTCCTCCCTGAAGTGGCCAGTGCTCTTGTCTTTGGCTTTGGTGTGGGCTCTTGAAACCCCAGTGGCCCCATTTGCTTCCTGCAGGGTTAACGGGCATCAGCGGCCCGGGGAAGGAGGCAAAGCAGATGGAAAACGGTATGCTGGTGACGAACCCCGTGGAGAAGCAGATGCAGAGGTAAGGGGGTGCTCACTTCTGCCCGCCTGCCCTGGCGACCGGGTGGGACCAGGGTGCCACCAGTTCCCGAGGGTCCTGGAAGGTGTGAACTTCCTGCCTCCTCTCCTGAGTCCCCTGGGGACCTTGTTCTCCAGAGCTCAGAGGCGGAGGGGCCAGTGCTGGCACGTTGCTGCCAGGGTGCATGGCTGATCGAGGCCCTACCCCAGCTGTCTGTCCATTTGACTCTCACAGTCCCTACGTTGGCTCGACCTGCGCTTGGGTTATTCGCAGGGGCCTAGAGTGTTCCGGCTTTAGGAACCAGCGTTCGATTTTAAAAAGTCACGAGGGGTAGCGACTGCCATGTTTAGGGGACATTAGGAGCCGGCAGTACCATGCTCTGTCAGTGTGTTGAACTGAGGCGGTTGCTGTCCTATGCCCGTTTTACAGGTGAGCACACTGAGCTCTCCACAGGTCAGCATCTGGAGAGAGGCCGGGCTTGGACCCGAGTCACAGCCCAGCCTCTGAGCCGGTTCCCTCAGTCTGTGCGGCGACATGATGCTCTAAGAGAGGTTGCCTCAGTTTCCTCATCTGTCAAATAGGGTTTGTGATAGTACCTGCCACCTAGGGTTGTGGGAAGGCTTGCACAGCAGGGTTACAGAAAGCACCTGGCACGGTGCCTTGGGCCATGTGCACGCAGCAGGTAGCACTCAGTTATCACCTGGGGCGAGCTGGGCCGCCTGACACAGCGTCTTCCTTTGGGTGAGAGATTTCCCAGAAACGGGGCTGGGAAGGAATTTGGCCTGAGCAGCCCTGCCCACCAGAAATTGCTTGTGGCACCCTCCTGGGCGTGGGCTTTATCCCATGGGACGGGACAGATGCTCTGCTCTGTTGGCACACCTGTGGCAGTGGTAAGCGAGCTGTCTCTGGTGCTCACGTAATGCCTGCAGAGCACACGGTGGGTGCGGGGCACTGTCGGGGCTCAGACCTACATGTGGTCCTGGGATGTGTGGGCCGGTGGTGGTGGGTGCTGGAGAGTCTTGTGTGACCGTGCAGAGGAACAGAGCACACCTGAGGCAGCTCAGCAGAACGTCTTCCTAAGCGAGCTGTCTCTGGTGCTCACGTAATGCCTGCAGAGCACACGGTGGGTGCGGGGCACTGTCGGGGCTCAGACCTACATGTGGTCCTGGGATGTGTGGGCCGGTGGTGGTGGGTGCTGGAGAGTCTTGTGTGACCGTGCAGAGGAACAGAGCCCTGGATGTATCAGTTACCTGTTGCACATGACAAGTAACACGGATCGATGTGTCAGTTACCTGTTAACCTAACAAGTAATGCAGAACTGGCAGCCCCGTTAAATATCTCCTGGCTTCTGTGGGCCAGGAGTCTGGGCGTGACTTGGCAGAGCCTCAGCTTCTAGGTCTGTCCTATGTGTGCAGCGAGGCAGTTGGCCAGGGCCGGGGTCTCCTCCGAAGACTCACCTGGGGAAGGACCCATTCCCAATCATGTGGTTGCTGGCAGAACTCGGGCAGGGCTCTGCTGCCCTCTGTCGCTCCCTGGTCATTGGCTGGAGGCTGCTTTCCATGCCAGCTGCCCGTGTGCCCAGTCCGGGTGCTTGCTTCTTTAAGATGTGCAGATCCAGACGGTGGTGGAGAGTCTGCCCCCGAGACAGAAGTCACACCTGGCTAGAAGCAAGAAGCCCACCCTGCGGGTCGAGGGCTGCAGGATGTGTACCCGGAGACAGGGCTCCTTGAGGAACGTCTTAGAGTCAGCAGCCGCCACACAGAAAGCTTCCTAGGGAGGGCGTGTGGAGAGCTGGCCTTTCTGTCCTGCACGTATTTATCCCAGAAGAGTCCACCCTTATTTACTGAGACCCTCCTCTGGGCCTAGGACTGTACCCTTCCTGCCTGAGAATTTCCCTTTCCCTGGGGCCTTCCAGCCTAGGCAACAACATGGGCTATACGGGCACGCACGTGTGTGTGTGCACACATGTGCTCACCTGTACATGCATGTGGGACTCTCAGTCTGACTCAGACTCACACGAGCACCCCAGCTGTTGGGTCTGCCCTCCTGGCCCGAGGCTTCCTCTCTGACGCCCACATGCTTGGCTCTCCCAGGCAGCTCAGCAGAACGTCTTCCTACAGCGGGGACACCAGCAAGCTCCACAGCAGCATCGCCGAGCTGCAGAAAGCTGGGGCCAAGGAGGAGACCTGGAAGCTGATGGAGGCGGACAAGGCACAGACTGGCCAGGTAAGGCCTGGCTCCCACACCCTGACGGGGACAGGGTTTCCGGTTTGTATGAACTCAGCAGATCCATCCCAGAGGACCTAGGAAGGTTCTCCTTCCAGTGCTGGAAGCTGAGGCCAGAGAGTTAGTGCCGGACCCAAGCTTGCCGCTGGTGGGTGCTGAGCTGGGGTTCGAACCGGCTGTCGGACTCCAAGGTTGGCACGCATAGTCTGCTCAGCACCACCATGCCTCAGGCCGCCGGAGGGCTGTCATGAGCTGTCGGTGTCCTCTAAGTCAGAGCTTCCTGCAGCCTGGGGTTCAGTGGTCTGTGAGATGGTTCCAGGTTGTGCACAGACACACAAGAACAGTAAATGACAGTCATGAAAGTATCTTTCACTCCTTTAGTTGCAGTGACATCAGAGAAAGCGTGTTCATTGGGTGCTGGCCTGTCTTCAGCAACGAACAGTCATTAGCTTCAAGCTTTTATTTTATTGCATTTTTTTTAAGATCATCTATTTGGGGCAAGTGTCAGTAATTTTCCATTTATGGTAGTGATACAAAGTTCATTTTTAAAAATAAAGGCAGTTGGGACCAGCGGTTGGCGTAATGGCTACGTTGTAGGACTCCCATATAGTTGACTACCATTCGAGTCCCGGACCGGTGGCTTAAACTCAATGCCAGGCGCGTGTGTGTGCGTGCCCAAGATCCCGAGAGGAGAATGGAGGAGAAGGGATTGCAGCATGGCCATCTCCCGTGGGAGAGGGGGTGATTTCTTGCTTTCTGTCTCTGTCTCTCTCTTTCTGGCGAGCGCACTCACCCTATAGCAAAAACCTCTCCAAAAATAAATAAATAAATAAAGGCAGTTAAAAAATGGGGGATAGGATTTTAAAAATAAATAAAAAAGGAAAAAAGAAAACCAAAAACCCAGGAGAGATGGTTCTGGAAGAAGCAATCTGGGCACGTTATTTTCTCCAATCTACCTGACAGAACGCTGCCTGCTTCCCCAGCCTCCCCTTGTCCCCTGCTGCCCAGCTCCCCCTACACCTGCCACCCCAGCCTCTCTCAGCTCCTGCCCCGGGGCCTCCACACGTGTGGGTTCCTCCACCTGCATGCCTCTTCCAACTGGAACTGGTTAATTCTTCCATGGCACCGCCTCAGGGAAAACCTCCGCATGCTCCTCCACCCTGGGTTAGGTCAGGATGCCTGCTCACCTGCCATTGCAGCCCTTCTCTGTAATTCCGCATTTATCCGGGCAAGAACTTGAAGAAAGCCCACCTCGCTGCTTGCCTGGACGTCGCAGGTGGGCAGAGACCTTGACTGTTTACTGCTGAATGGCTTCAGAGAAGGCGTCCCCAGAGTGAGCAGGGACTGCACAGGGCCGCGGAGGCCTGCCCAGTGTGGCTGGGGGTGGCAGGGGAGCCTTGTGCGAGACGCGTCCTCTCCGGGGCCTGCAGGTGAAGCTGTCCGTGTACTGGGACTACATGAAGGCCATCGGACTCTTCATCTCCTTCCTGAGCATCTTCCTGTTCTTGTGTAACCACGTGGCCGCACTGGCTTCTAACTACTGGCTCAGCCTCTGGACGGACGACCCCATCGTCAACGGCACCCAGGAGCACACGGAAGTGCGGCTGAGCGTCTACGGGGCCCTGGGCATCTCACAAGGTGAGTGCCATGTCCCCCACCCACCGGTTTCAGCACCTGTAATGGCTTTGATGATGATCAAGGAGAGTCCCCGGGATCCTCAGGGTTGGGTGAACCCCCAGGCCACACCCGGAGGAGCGCACCTTTTACATCCCAGGCTTTCAGAGGTCTGGAACAGTGTTTCTTACATGCCTTTGTCTCTTTCGGCCCGAGGAGAGAGATGGGAGGGGACCTGTGTACCCATTTTACAGATGTGGGAAGTGGAGGACAGGCCACCTGGGACATGGGAACTGGGAGGTCCCCGTGGCCCCCGTTGCTCTAGCAGGGGGAAGGGGCTTCTGTGAAGTCTCTTGTGGATTTGCATCTGCTGTGTAAGAGTGGAAGTTAGTCTGTCCTGTGGTTCTCAGCGGAGGGCCGTGCTGTTCCTTAGGAAACATCGGACAGTGTCGAGGTCATTTTGCTTCGCCACCTCAGGTGGGGATTGTTGCTACTGGCCCCCAGGGCCGAGAGCGCCGTCGCCATCCCCAGTGCCCACGACAGCCCCTCGCATGGAAGGCTGACCCAGCCGTGCGCTGGTTAGTGATGAGACAGGCTACTGGGTACCCCTCCCCCTGGGTCCACAGGGATCCCCAGACACGGCCGCAGTGACGGCGACAGCGGCTCTCTGCATGGTGCTGGCACTGTTCCAGACGTCTCCGGGTTTTTACTTCGTCTTTGCAGAAACCCCTCGAGGGCAGCAGCTCACATTTTCTCTACCTTAGAGATGCAGAAAGTAAGGCCAAGAGTTAAGTGAGCCGCCCAGAGAGGTTAAGTGAGCCGCCCAGAGCCACACAGCTAATACACGACAGGGAAGGAGGCATGGAAGGAGGCAGCCTGACTCAGCAGTGCTCCCTTCTGCCGAGCTGTGCAGACATGAGCCTGGGGCTCACATGCTCTGAACACCGTCTACACACACACACATTCAATATCTGTGTAAACGGATGTACCGGCTGCGTTCGAGCACTTGCTGTGTGCCAGGCAAGCCGTCGGCGTTCCGCCATGCACCAGGGTAAAGCTCACGGTGCCCATTTCACTGAGGTGCAGAGAGAGGTTCCGTGACAAGCTGGGGTGTGGCGGCGTGGGCACCAGAGCTCGTCATGGCGCCTGCCTCGGGGTTCTCCTGATTAAAGATGGGAGCCTGCTGTGCCGGAAACAGCAGTGCTCCACCGAGGTCGGAGGAGCCACAGACGCCCGTGCTCTCCACGACACGCTGGAAAATACCACTAGTGGGAGAGCCGCTGCAGATTCCCCTCCCTACTCTCCAAAATGTCCTCGAGGGGAGGTACTGAACAGAGAGGGTGCAGCATTGAGCTGGGCCCACACAGCGACAGTGTCTGTGCTCCCATTGTGCTGTCAGTCTGGTAGCCACGAGGCTAAGTTTAATTTTAGTTAATTCAACTTTAATAGGAACAATAAAATTAATTTTCACTGATTTTACTATTTAATGTATTACTAGTCTTACTATTTAGTCTTATATAACTTTTATGTAGTATCTTATTAAAGGTGGTCATATCATTACTATATTTAGTTAACCTGTTACTATATTACTTAGTATTTAATTTCAGTGAGTTAAAATGAAATAAGACGGGAAATTCTGTCTCTGGACCAGCCGCATTTCAAGTGTGCAGCAGCCACCGGTGGCCAGGGGCTACCTAGGAGGGTCAGCAGAGGTCTAGACCGTCCCCATCAGTGCAGGAAATCTTGCTGGTCATGCGGGTCCCGAGGCCCATGGCGCGCAGATTCAGAGAGCACCCCGGGGCAGGCTCCTGGGTGAGACTCGGCTCTGCTCTGCTCAGCAGAGTACCCCGAGGGCCGAGGAGCTTGCCTGCCTGGGCTTCCGTTTTTCCATCTGCAGAATGAGTGGAATCGTAGAAATCGGACTCGTATGAGACCTGGCACGGTGCTCGGCACCGACTGAGGGCTCAGCGTTCACAGCCACTGCTCTTACTGTATCAGAGGTTGAGCTCCTGGGCCTGCTTTGTCCTCGTCCACCCCCCTCCTCCCTGCAATGCCTGCCAGGCCCTCCGTGCCTCGGTGCCCCCGTTGCGGAGTGTAACCCGAGTGTTCACAGGCATCACCGTGTTCGGCTACTCCATGGCCGTGTCCATCGGGGGCATCTTCGCGTCCCGCCGGCTGCACTTGGACCTGCTGTACCATGTCCTGCGCTCACCCATGAGCTTCTTCGAGCGGACCCCCAGCGGGAACCTGGTGAACCGCTTCTCCAAGGAGCTGGACACGGTGGACTCCATGATCCCGCAGGTCATCAAGATGTTCATGGGCTCCCTGTTCAACGTCATCGGCGCCTGCATCATCATCCTGCTGGCCACGCCTGTTGCCGCCGTCATCATCCCGCCCCTGGGCCTCATCTACTTCTTCGTCCAGGTGAGAGGTGGGGTCTCGGTGTTCAGACGAGCCCTACTGTGTGTCAAGCTCTGAGTCCCCTAAGGGTTCCTCCGTCTCACCACGTCCTCAGTGTGAGCTGTCGAGGATCTGCTTGAGATTTGATTTGTTTCTGTAAGATTCAAATACCTAAATTGATAGATCATAGCTTGCAATAACAAAATGCACTTTTTTTGGATAAGTTATATTTTTCTAATTGTAAGTTAGAAAAGGAAGTAAATTGGGGACCAGCAGTTAGTGTATGGCTATGTCGCTGGACTCCCATTAGTCGACCGCGGTTTAAGTCTTAGACCTAGTAGCTTAAACTCACGCCGGGCGCATGTGCATGTGTGCCCAAGATCCCGAGAGGAGAGTGGAGGAGAAGGAATTGGGACATGGCCATCCCTCCCCCCTCCCCCCCCGGAGGATGATTTATTGCTTTCTGTCTCTCTGTCTCTGTCTTTCTGGCAAAGTGTATGTGCCCTATAGCAAAAATCTATCCAAAAAAAGAAAAGGCAATAAACCTATAGCTGAAAAAGACATCTTTATTAAAATTTCATTAAGTGTAAAAATCTTTAGTTCCTAAGCCTCCAGCAGACCAGTGGAGACATAAATACATTAGCTTAAACAGGATCAATGTGCATTGTTCTCGCTCATAACGGAAATTTAGAGATGGCATCTTTAGAGCATTCCTCCTCATTTTCTGTCTTTTTTTTTTAACGGTCCTTGCATAAGCCTTCCATTCTTACGTTGGTACAAGATGACTGCTAGAGCTCCAGCCATCACAGTACATTTCAAACAATAATAAATAACAATATATTCCAAATTCCCCCTGAGGAAGGGGACTAGGGCAAGGGAGCAGATCACCCAGTCAGCACCGCCCACTTAAATATGTCTAAGTTTCTAGAACTTAGTCATGTGACCACCTTTCTTTGCAGGGGAGACTGGGAAGTGTAGATTTTTAGCAGAGGATATTACAGTTCCCAGCTGGAGGTGTCTGCTGGAAAGAAGAAGGCAACAGTGTGTAGGCTGCTGGGAGAGCCACATCCCTTCTGTAGGAAGGGCCATCAGCGTGGTTTGAACCCATGTACTCTCCTGGACTATTGCTGTACAGATCGGTTCCAGCTAGCAGAGAGCGTGTTGAGGCTCAGAGCAGAAGAGCATCTTGCCCAAGTCCCAGAGCTGAGGATGATTCCAGAGCTTGTGCCCTTCTTGCCCCTGCGGGATCAGCTGGGGGTGGGGAGGACTAGGTGTGAGATGGGAGTGTCCCGACGGCAATGGCGGGTGAGAGACACGGAGCACGTCATCCCTCAGGCCTCACTGCGGGGCTGTGCAGGTGGGATCCAGAAGACCTCGGTCCAGCCATCCACCCAGTGCCCCACATTTGGCCCAGGGATTTATGAGCATGAACGAAGATAGAACTGGAGAGAAGGGCCTGTTCCCAGACCCTCATTGTATCCTCTTTAAATTGATGCCAGCTTTTTTTTTTTTTTTTTTTTTTAATCATCGAGCTGCATTTACCAAAAATGTTATCCATGTTCAAACTCTGACTAGAAATTCCCTGGAGGACCCAATTGAAAGGAGCAATACAGGCCAAGTGCAGTTGTGCAGGCGTTTTCCAAAGGCAGGACCTTGGCACCCTGTGGAGCGGTTCCACAATGCAGCATTCCAAGCTCTTGGTGGGGATAATCAGAAAGACACTGTGTTGTAACACAGACCATTTAATTTTTTAATTATTATTATTCATTAATTAATTTTTTAAATTTGACCAGAGAGAGACAGAGAGAGAGAAAGTGAGAAAGCAAGCCACTAGCCCCGGGACTCAAACCATAGTCAGCCATGTGGAAGTGTTCAGCACCTTAACTACCACACCACCTGCTGGTCCCCAGATTATTTAATTTTTAAAGAGCAAAACAATGGTCTAAATTTTATGCATGCTGTCATCGTGTCTGAGCTGAAATGTCTAATGCGCGTGAGCGAGCCTGGAGAAGGTGGCAGGGAAAGGAAGACATTGCTCTCTCAAGGGCTGGGATTATAGGAGAACTTACTTCTTTAAACGGCTTTTAACTAGACACTTACCCAAGCCCAGCAGTCTCACTCCTAATAGAGAGAGCGTCTTGATTCTTGATCACTCAAAACCAGAAACAACTCAAATATGCATTAAGAAAAGAATGGAGGGCCAGCAGGTGGCATGGTGGTTAAGGGTGCTGGACTCCCATATGGCCGACCGCGGTTCAAGTCCCGGGCCTGGCGGCTTGCTATCTCACTTTCTCTTGCTCTGTCCCTCTCTGGTCAAATGAAGATAAATAAATAAAATGAATAAAGTTAAGTAAAATTTTAAAAAAATAAATAAAGAAAGAAAGAATGAATGAACAGGGGCCAGCAGATGGCACAATGGTTGCGTCGCTGGACACCCACACAGTCAACTGTGGTTCGAGTCCCAGACCCAATGGCTTAAACCTCATGTTGGGCATGTGTGTGTGCATGTCCCAAGTCTCTAGAATAGAGAAGGGATTGCAGCATGCCTTCCCTTCTGGGCGGAGTGGGATGTGTGTGAGATGTCTCACTTTCTGTCTTTCTGGCAAGTAAAAGGGGCCCTTTAGCCAAAATTTCTCTTAAAAAAAAAAAAAAAAAGAGAAGACGGACAGTCGTGAACCAGTCACGCAGCAGAAACGACGCAGCCATGAGCACAGCGAGTGGCCCAGCCACAGTAGCCTGTATCAGATGCTGCCACTTGGTAGGCCGAGGCTACGTGGGAGGCCTGGGTTGGACTCCCGGCCCACCCTACATAAGCCCGGCCAGGTCACACCTGTCTGTAATCCTGGCTGCTCATAGGCTGAGGCAGGAGGATGCTGATATAGCAAGACCCTGCTTTAAAAAGCAACAGAAAACTGCTCAGTTCTGGTGGCACAGTTGCTAACATACCCAACAACAGTGCTGGAAGCCGTGTGGCCAGCTGTGGGTCTGGATCTCCAGCCTGGTCGATCTGAAATAGGCCAAGTGCGTGTGTGCCCGAGATCCTAAGGGGCTGGAGGGCTGGGGGAGGGGATTATGGTGTAGCGTGACCCTGTGGAGGGTGCTTCTCTCTCTGTCTCTGATCATGAATAAAATGAACTTTAAAAAAAAGGACGGCTGTGAGTGGCGACCTAGCAGTGAAACGTGGCACTCTGGGCGGCAGACCCCCACAAGAAGGTTCCCTGAGTATGCCAGAGACCCAGGGCTGGCTAAAGCCAGGGTGGATTGTGGCGCCCTGTCAGGGTGCTGCCTCTCTCTTTCTCTTTCTTACTGTCTCTTATTCTCTCTCTCATGGAAGAAATAAATGAATAAACTAAAAAAAAAACAAAAACAAAAACAAAAAAAAACAAAAACCAACTACTCCCATTCCAGGAACTGAAAAATTGAAAAGAGATGAACTGCTAATATACACAACCACGCAAATAAATCGCACTGATGGGACAGTGATCGAAAGAAGCCAGACCCAGGAATGTCCTGTGAGAAACATTCACAGGAAGTCCAGAGCAGATGACGCTGACACGGGTGGCCAGCAGGTGGCGTGATGGTTGAGGCGTTGGACTCCTTCATGGCCGACCACTGTGCAAGTCCTGGACCTGGAGGCTTGCTGCTTTCTCACTTTCCCTCTCTCTGGCAAATCAGAAAAATAATCATTGTTAATTAATAATAATAATTAGTTTCTTTGTTATTAAAGAGAGCAGGTGACACGACTGCACAGTGACAGGAGTGAGAGCAGGGGCCGTGACTGGGAGGGGTTATTGACTGAGAGGAGATGAAAGGGCATTTTCTCGGGTGCTGGTGATGTTCTGTGTTTCAAATAGTGTTTTTGCAGGTGTAGATACACTAAAACTCACAAAGCTACATACACTGGAGGTGCCGCGTACCTCCCAGTGTAAGTGGAGCGCACTTAACGAGTGGCTTTTAGATGCACATGCCTGTGTAGGTGTGCACACGTGCATACATTCTTTGTCTTTTGGCAAAGGATCTTAGTTATTCACTGAAATTTGAATAGCACTTATCTTTTTTTTTTTTAGGGAGAGATTTTTTTGCTGTAGGGCACTTGTGCTTGCCAGAGAGACAGAGAGAGAAAACGAGAAATCATCTCCCAGGGTGGATGGCTGTGCTGCAATCCCTTCTCCATTCTCCTCTCAGGATTTTGGGCATGCACACATATGTGCCCGGTGTGAGTTTTAAGCCACCACGTCTGGGACTCGACTGTGGTCGACTCTGGGAGTCAGGCATAACCATTACGCCGTCTGCTGATCCCACCAAGTTAGATTTTTATAGGGAATAGGGCTCTGAGGCAGGGACAGATGCAATAGGGGGAGCAGGTAAAGGGCCTCGAGATTTCATGCCTAACGTCTAGAAGGAAAGTGGTTAGAGAGGAGGTGAGGTGGAGGGTCGGTGGCAGTGGCAGCTGCTGGGTGGAGGTGACATCTGACTCTCCTTCACGGACTTGGCAGAACAGCCACCCCAAGACTGCTGGGGTTTGTGTCGTCCCGGGCTTAGCCTACAGACTCTCGGGTCCCCGGAGGGCTGCCCGCCAGTGGGTTCAGGTTGTTGCCTGAGCCATCCAGAAAGAAGCTGCTAATCACTGGGGACTTAAAAACAAGCCAGTGGGCGCCCTCTGTGTAGGGTTTCTGGCCCGCAGTGCCCCGGTGCACCTGGTGAGGGCAGGAGGCCAGGAGGTGTGCTCCTAACAGCACATGTGGATCTGTGGGATACGGCTCCCTCAGCCACTGGGCTACAGAACTGGGCCTCACCAGATCCATTTGTACACATGGAGAACTGAGCCCAGAGAGCTCTGGGTCCTCAGATGGCCACTGCAGCGCCTTCCCTCAGCTCCTGGAGCTTCCAGAGGCCCATGAGCTTTTGGGGCAGAGAGCAATTGCCTTCTGTTCTGTCTCCGACAAGACTTACCAGGCTGCCCTCTGCCCTCTGTGCCTGGCAGGGGTGCTGGCAGGAGCAGAGCAGCTGTGGTGTCTGCCTGTGGGGACAAGTGGATGTGGTTAGGCGTCCCCAGAGCTGGGATGGTGAGTGCTGGAGAAAGCTCCTGCCTTGCAGGGGAGAGGGAATCGCTGTTGCTGCTGCGCTCTGCTGAGTGAGGAGGAGTGGCCTGGGCAGGAGGGGTGGTGGTGAAGATGAGCGGGGGGAGATTGATTTCTTACTTTCTCTGTCTGTTACTCTCTGGTGAGGGCATGTCTCCAATAGCAAATGAACAACAACAAAACCCCCAGAGCCCCGGCTCAGTCCAGCACTTTGCGTCCTGCAGGCACCGTTAATGCTCACACTTTTCCCAGTTGTCTTAGTCTGTTTGGGCCGCCCTAACAGAGGACCACAGACTGGGCAATTTAGGAAGAACTGAAGTGTATTTGCCCAGTCCCTGCAGCTGCTAGTGCAAGGTCCAGGTGCCAACTTGGTCGCGGTGAGGGCTGCTGTCTGCCTCCAAGATGGCGGCCTGTGGCTGCATCCTCACGTGGCGGGAGGAGCAGGAGGCGTTAACTCACTCCAAAGCCTCCTTCATAAGGGGTCAGTCCACTCGCGAGGGTGGAGCCCTTGGGTCTTAATCACTCCCCAAGGTACCACCTCTTAATACCTCCAGAATGAATTTTGGAAGGGACACTCACACATTTAAGATGGTTGGGAGGGCAGGTGGCATAGTCGTTAAGGTACTGGACTCCCACATGGCATACCGCGGTTAGAGTCCCGGACCCGGTGGCTTGAAACTGACACCAGACCTGTTTGCGTGTGTGCCCAAAATCCCAAGACTAAAAGGACTGTAGCGTGGCCATCCCTCTGGGGGTGATTTTTCACTTTCTCGCTGTCTCTCCAGTAAGTGTGTGTGCCCTCTAGCAAAAATCTCTTTAAAAAAAAAAAAGTGGCTGGGAACCATCAGTTAGCGTAATGGCTATGTCACTGGACTCCCACGTAGTCGACCGCGGTTCGCGTCCTGGACCCAGTGGCTTAAAACTCCCGCCGGGCACGTCTGCATGCGTGCCCAAAATCCTGAGAGGAGAATGGAGGAGAAGGGATTGCGGCGTGGCCATGCCCCCTGGGAGGTGATTTCTCTCTTTCTGTCTCTATGTCTCTCTCTGTCTTTCTGGCGAGCACACGCACCCTATAGCAAAAACCTCTCCAAAAAAAAAAATTGGAATGGGGTCCTTCGCCATCTCCTCACGCCCCTTCTCTCCCGCCACAGAGGTTCTACGTGGCCTCCTCCCGGCAGCTGAAGCGCCTCGAGTCAGTCAGCCGCTCCCCAGTTTACTCTCACTTCAACGAGACCTTGCTGGGGGTCAGCGTCATCCGCGCCTTTGAGGAGCAGGAGCGCTTCATCCACCAGAGCGACCTGAAGGTGGATGAAAACCAGAAGGCCTATTACCCCAGCATCGTGGCCAATAGGTGGGTGCAGTGGCTTCTGGGGGGCGGAGGAGGCCTGCACAGCGCCTCGTCCCTTCGCCTTGATTCCTCCCATGCACCTTCCTCCCGAGAAGGTAAAGCCTCACTCAGGCCCTGGCAGAAAGGGCAGACAGGTGAGGAGGAGAGGTCAGGAGCAGATGGGTGCACAGCGGGCATGCTGTACCGGGGGCCTCATGTGCAGGGCTGCACTCTGAGTCAGAAATCCCACAGACTCTGCTTTCGCCATCATCTTGACCACACGAGGTCAGCCACGGACAGACCCTGCTTTTGAGTAACTTCACACAGGAGTTTCCAGCAGGGTGGCAGGGGTCAGGCATCCCCGTATGAGGTGTATCAGAAGCAATTTATGAACACTAAGATGAAGCCGATGAAATTGACATCTCATGGATCCAAGTGATTGAAACAGCAATGATCAAAAAAAAAAAGAAGAGGACAAAAGTTTGTTAATTATTTGCTGAACTCAGAAATGTATCTGCGTTGTCCCTAAAATGTCATCCTCCTCACCTAGTTGCTTTTTTTTTTTTTTGAGAGGTTTTCTGCCATAGGGCACGTGAGAGAAAGAAAGCGAGAAATCACCCCCGGACTCCTCTCGGAATCTTGGGCACGCATGCACATGTGCCTGCCGTGAGCCTAAGCCACCAGGTCCGGGACTTGAACTGTGGTCGACCACATGGGAGTCCAGCAACATAGCCATTATGCCAACTGCTGGTCCTCCTCTTTGCATCTCGCTGCACTTATTTGAAAGGCAGATTCGAAGGGCTGACAAGTGGCATGGTGGTGAAGACACTGGACTCCCACGTGGCAGACTGCAGTGTGAGTCATGGGCTTGGTGGCTTGCTTTCTCACTTTCCCTCACACTCCCTCACACACTCTCTGTCTCTCACTGGTCAAATTTAAAAATAATAAAATTAAATGAGTAATTCTTTAAAAAGAAAAGTGGATTTGGAATCCAGGGCATAGAGGCAGGTGGCAGCACCGTGGGGGTCACCCCTAGCCAGCCCATCTTACCCAGTGTAATCCTGGGATGGAGACTGGGGTGGGTCAGGAATTCCTGGAGACCACGAGCTCCCGTGAAAATTCTTAGGGAGTTTGTTATGTCTGGCTCTGTCCATGGGAGGGTCTCCCACATGTGAAGATCAGGCCGGATTGTAAGTGCTTCCATGGACAATGATCGACAGTCCCATCTCCCGAGAGTCCTGTACATTCTAAAACATAAAAGTCGTATTTGTAGTGCCCCATGGTACCTGACAGAAGTTAGTTTACAGATGAAATACTTGTTTATATTTTAAGTAGTACATTTAACATTTCTGAAATTAGAATGGGTCTGGGGCGCAGACTCTACAGGGACGTTTACAAAGGTGGCATGTTTCCCAATCTTCTCTCAGATCCATCTCCTGCCACGAGGTGCTCATTTTGAGCCAGAGGTGTCTCTTACAATTGGTAACTTGTTATATTTAAGAATATCTAGGACATCTTTCTATAAATGCATATAATGGGGAACTTTGCAAAGTTCATAGAAAAATAGAATTGAAGTACAGGTTTATTTTGGCTTAAAAAATGGAATCCACACATAGTTTTCATTTCCTGAGAGCTTTTTGAAGATCCCCCTTATATCTACATGAAAGCCAGACCCGTGGCCTAGTGGCTAAGGGAGCTGATCCCACATGGCAGACTACGAGGTTCAAATCCTGCCCTGAGTGGCTTGAAAAGCATGCTGGCCATGTACGTGTGCATCTCTACCCCCCCCAGGTAGAGAAACAGAGGAGGAGGGATTTGGCGTGACCATACTCCACCAGGGGTGCTTTCTCCCTCTCCCTCTCTGTCTCTCTCTGGCAAGTTAATAATAATAAAGGCTTCAGTGAGGAGGAGTTGGTTCTTTAAAAGGTAGGTTCAGGGTCCTGGGCAGATTGCCCCAGGAGCTCTGTGCCATTGCTGGGCTCTCAGGTGAAGGAGAGATCTGGACACCCTGACTCTTGGGCCTCCCTCCTTCCCCTCTGCCAAGGCTGCATGTTTCAGCCAAGCAGCACTGAGGGGCCTCTCAGGAAATACTGGGGGGTTATTTCAGTTAGCACAGGGATCCTCCTCACCCCCGGGAACCAGAAGCCAGGCCTCTAACATGCTATTTCCTCATGTCTGTCCGTCCATCTGTGCATCTCGCTGCAGGTGGCTGGCCGTGCGGCTGGAGTGTGTTGGTAACTGCATCGTCCTGTTTGCCGCCCTGTTCGCGGTCATCTCCCGGCACAGCCTCAGCGCCGGCCTGGTGGGCCTCTCGGTGTCTTACTCATTACAGGTAAGAGGGGCGCTCTTGTGGGTTGTGAAAGACTCTTAATGGACCTGCAGGTGTCAGGTCTCTGGGCCTTTGCTTTGGATTCTGGCAGAAGTTGGGAGAGGAAAGGGGCAGTTAGAGGAGCTGGTCCCTGGATCTGAGGACCAACCAGGGCAGGAGAGGGATTTGTCAGGGTTCCCCCAGCAGTCAGGGAGACTCCTTGAGGACCCAAGAGGATGCTTCCAGCTACAGGAGAAATGCCATTGTAACAAATTTTCCTCTGAGCTCTGCTCCAGTGTGTTTCAGTTCATTCTCTTTGGCTTAATAACCAAATACCACACCCTGAATATCTTACAAAGGATAGAGGCATATTTAGCTCATGGCTCTGGAGGTCTGAGGTCCAGCAGCCACGTCTGGTGAGAGTCTTCTTGTTGGTGGGGATTCTGCAGAGTCCTCACATGGCAAGAGCCCATGCATAGCCATATCTGTATGCCTGTGTCTCCAGGCCTCCCCGGTCTCTCTCCCTCTTACTAAGCCACTGGGATTTAATCAAGAGGTCCCACCCTGATTATTTTATCTAATTCTAATCACCTCTCAGAGGCTGCACTTCTTGATCCCATCGTCAGATTAAGTTTCCACCCTCTTAATACCTTCACAGGGTAGCCAAATTACAGCACATGAATTGTGGGGGGGGCATGTACAAGCTGCATCCCATGAATTTTGATACATTATGACATTATCATAGTTCAGAATAGTATCTAGTTGGCTTTCTGATTGCTCTTGTGACCCATGGGTCATCTGGAAAATGTGCTTTCTTTTCTTTTTTGTTTTCCTCCATTTTTTTTTTTTTTTGGAGAGGTTTTTGCTATAGGTCATGTGAGCTCGCCAGACAGAGAGAGACAGAGTGACAGAAAGCGAGAAATCACCCCCCAGGGGGGATGGTCATGCCGCAATCCCTTCTCCTCCATTCTCCTCTCGGGATTTTGGGCACACACGCACACGCGCCCGGCGTGAGTTTTAAGCCACCGGGTCCAGGACGCGAACCGCGATCGACTATGTGGGAGTACAACAACAATAGCCATTACGTTAACTGCTGGTTCCTGAAAATGTGCTTTCTTGAGAGACACAGGGGCCAAGTGTGGGATACCTGATTTCTGCGGCTTTCTTAGCTGTCATCATACTTTGCAACTGATGGGAATGAAATAACGTGTAGTCACTCTAGAAACTCCCATGGTTCATTCACTCGCAGGTCACCACGTACTTGAACTGGCTGGTCCGAATGTCATCCGAGATGGAGACCAACATCGTGGCCGTGGAGAGACTCCAGGAGTACTCGGAAACCGAGAAGGAGGTAAGGCGGGCCGCGGCCCAGGCCAGGCCTCCCAGCCTTAGTCTTCAGCATGGCCTTGCCCCCATGAGACACTTGGTAACCATTCCTCCAGGCAGGAGGGTAAGTTGGTTACCCCACTAGGTAGACACCCATCTGTGTGTGTCTCTTCTCTGCAGCATCAACTCAGAACCTTTGCTTTTGGGGTGAGACATGGTTTATAATCCTCCTGACTTGCCCCAAGCTATGGAAGCCCATATACAAGAACAGGAAATTTGCCAAGGCAGTTAGATGGTGCTTATCGTGTAAGATGAGGATGGGTTTTCCCTTCTAATTCCTTTCCAGACCTTGCGATGATATTGCAGAGAAAGTCTTGGTTTGGTGCTAGTAGGTCTTTTTCATTTTTTTTTCTAACCAACTGAGTTTTATTTGTTGCATAAACCACCTAACATCTTTTAGGTAAAAAAATGAAAAAAAAAGATACTAAATTTGAATAAAGATATTACAAAATGAATTAGAGCCTAATAAAAATTAGCTTTGGGGAGGGAACACAATTTTACTCAATTAAGGCAAACGTCTTTATAGATCACAGATTTGTTTATTTTTAACACCCATCATGCCATGAATTCATCGGGAATAGGTTGCAGTAGCTCAGGCTCCTTTCCATTGGTTCTCACAAAGTGTGCTTCTCTGGGTGGAGCAGGCTGGCGCTTTAGTTGAACCCAGGTAACTTTCTCTTTGACTTTCTTCTTTTTCTGGTCATTTTCCTTCACACGTTTTAGGAAGCTATCTCTGCTCTTAGAATGTTTAATATGCTCAATACGCACATTGATTCTCTTGGCAAGAATCTTGCCCTTAACTTGTTTGTTCACAACAATGCCAACAGCATGCTGGGTAACATTGTAGACTCTTCCAGTTTTGCCACGGTAACATTGGTGGGGCATTCCTTTTTGAACAGTACCCATTCCCTTGACGTCTACAATATCACCTTTCTTGTAGATTCGCATATATGTGGCCAAAGGAACCACTCCATGTTTTCTAAAAGGCCTAGAAAACATATATGGGGCGCCTCTTCTCTCTCCCTTTGTGTTCGTCATTTTGGTGAATTACTTCAAGATGGCGGTTCTGGCCAAAAGGGGTGCTAATAGGTCTTCAGCATCTTTCTAATTGAAATAAGGTCCCTTTAGCAGACAGACTCAGCCTTCGATCTCAGACCTTCAACAACACAGCCTCTGTCTAATAAAATTAATGTTCTGGGTTTTCTTTTTTCCCTTTATGAGAGAGGGAGCAGGAGGGAGTGATAGGCATCTGGACAGTCTCATCGTATCTTGATCCTCCTGCCCAGCCTCCCAAGCAGCTAAGGTACAGGCATGCACAACCAGGCCTGGAACGTTCAGGTCAGCCCAGGACCAAACCCAGGCCTGCCACGTGGCTTCCAGCCTCCCACGTGGTAGTGCTACTTGTGTGCCATATGGTTGGGCCTTGTTACGTATTTTTATGAAGGACTTGTATCATGGAAAATGTGTATTATGAAGAAACTGGGCATAGATTTCAAAACTTTTATGCTCAAATGAATTTCTACTTTAATTCTATTTTCCGTGAAGTGTCTGAAGTACCCTTGTAATACTCGTTTGCCATTTGTGGTTGCTTAAACATTTTCCTTTTAATTAAGTTGAAAATTAAGTGCAAATGAGTGGGTAAAATGTTAAAAGTAGGGCCTGGTGGTGGCACCGTGGAGCACAGCTGGACCCACCACGGGTAGGTCCTGGGTTTGCGCCCTCAGGCCTCCCTGAGCATGCAGGGCAGGTGTGCATGCACCCACGACCCAGGACCAGCCGAAACAGGGCATATGGTGTCAGGACCCATGGGGGTTCCTATCTCTGTCTCTCTCTGGCATGGAAGAAATAAATATTTTTTAAAAGGGTAAGAAGAGAATCCGTACATGGATATTGCAGAAATCATAATGGATGAAGAATCAACCGGCGGTGGGGCACCCTGCAGTTATTTAACCCAGGTCTCCATTTTATAGATGGAGAGAAAGGGAACCCAGGGAGGGACGATGCCTGATAGAGGGTCCCTCTGGTTCAGTAGGACAGCTGGGACTAGGACCCAAGTCTCGACTCTATCACGTTGCCCCTGGTGACTGCCTCCAGCAGCGGCAGCAGGGGCTGTGCTGGTGGACCTCCATCCCCTCCTCCACCAGTAGCAGCGAGGGGGCCCTGGGTTGCACCTCCGAGGTGTGTCACTTCCATTTTTATGCAGCCCTTATGTTGTAGATGGTATTTTTTAAACCCATTTTACAGGTGAGAAAGCTGAGACAGGTTAAATCACTTCCTAAGATCACACGTAAATGGTTGGACCCAGGATTTGGGTCTGCGACATCCCAAGAAAATGCCCCTAGGGATTGAGACCAAGGCCCCTGAGATTCATGGCAGTAGCCTCTGCGTGGTCCTCACTGGAGAACATTGTTCAGGATGGTGTGAGCACCCTCGTGTGGAAGCAAGAGAGCATTGCACCGGGAGGTTTCCACCCTCCATGGAGTTTATTTTTACTAGGTGTGTGCACTTGCCAGAGGTTGGGGTTGGGGAGGATAACACACTCCCTGTAGGGAATGCTTACACTGCAGTCCCTCCTCCTATCTCTCCTTTTTGAGATTTTGAGCATATGTGCCCAGCGGGTTTCTCAAGCCACCAGTTCTGGGACTTGAACTGTGTGGTCAGACATGTGGGATCCAGCTGCCTTAACCACCAGACCATGGAGTCAGCTCAAATTTATTTATTTTTTAAAATACAACTTTATTGAGATATACTTCACATGCCCTGTCATTGACCCATATAAAATGTGTAGTTCAGCTGAAATCAGTTTGTAAAAAAATATTTTACTTCTTGGAGACCAGCAGATGGCATAATGGTTACGTCACTGGACTCCCACAAAGTTGACCATGGTTCACATCCCAGACCTGGCAGCTTTACCATGTTGGGTGCACGTGTGCGCCCAAAATCCAGAGAGGAGAATGGAGGATAGGGATTGCGATGTGGCCACCCACTCTGGGGAGGCTGCTTTCTCAACTTTCTGGCTTTCCAGTGAGTACACGTACCCTATAGCAAAAACCTCTCTTTAAAAAAATAAAAAGGGAGGCCAGCAGATGGCGTGGTGGTCAAGGTGCTGGACTCCCACATGCTTGACTGTAGTCTGAGTCCTACATCTGGTGGCTTGCTTTCTCACTTTCCCTTTCTCTCTCTCAGTCTCTCTCTGGTCAAATTAAAACAATTTTTTTTTTTTGAGAGGCTTTTGCTATAGGGCACATGTGCTCACCAGAAAAACAGAGAGAGAGAGAGACAG